CTAGGTGGTCCCACATTTGCGTGAGGATAAACCAGGAGGAACAGCTGGGGAGCGAGACAGACTATGTAATCCAGGATTCCAGTGAGGGGAAAAGAAAGCCTCAAAACCTCTACAGGTAAAGACCTATGGGGGGTTGCAGCAGTGGGAAAAACTCCCAGCCTCATAAGAGAGTTTGTTGGAGAGATACACGGGGTCCTAGAACCTACACAATCCCACCCACATGGGAATCAGCACTAGAAGAACCCAATTTGCTTGTGGGTAGAGGGGGAAGTGGCTGAAAGCTGGCTGGGAGCCAAGCAAGTGGCACTGTTCCCTTTCAGACCCCTCCCCCACATACAGCGCCACAAGAAAGCAACCTGAGTTGCCCTGCCCTAGCGAATACCTAATGCTCCACCCCTTCCAATGTATCAGGAATGGTGAGACAAGAAATATGGCCGAAATGAAAGAACAGATCAAAGCTCCAAAAGTAGAACTAAGCGATGTTGAGATAGCCAACCTATCAGATGCACAGTTCAAAATACTGATTATCAGGATGCTCACAGAATTGGTTGAGTATGGTTACAAAATGGAGGAAAAAGTGAAGGCTATGCAAAATGAAATAAAAATGTACAGGGAACCAAAAGTAAAGGGAAGGAAACCAGGACTCAGATCAATGATTTGGAGCAGAAGGAAGAGATAAACATTCAACTTGAACAGAATGAAGAAACAAGAATTAAAAAAAAATGAGGCAAAGCTTAGGAACCTCTGGGACAAATTTAAACATTCCAACATCCAAATCATAGGGGTGCCAGAAGAAGAGGAAGAGCAAGAAATTGAAAACTTCTTTGAAAAAATAATGAAGGAGAACTTCCCCAAACTGGCCAAGAAAATAGACTTCCAGGAGATCCAAGAAGCTCAGAGAGTCCCAAAGAAGTTGGACCCAAGGAAGTGCACATGAAGGCTCATCATAATTAAGTTACCCAAGATTAAAGAGAAGGAGAGAATCTTAAAAGCAGCAAGATAAAAGGAGACAATTACCTACAAAGGAGTTCCCATAAGACTATCAGCTGATTTCTCAAAAGGAACCTTACAGGCAAGAAGGGCTGGGAATAAGTATACAGAGTTATGAAAGACAAGGACCTACATCCAAGATTACTCTATCCAGCAAAGCTATCACTTAGAATGGAAGAGCAGATAAAGTGCTTCCCAAATAAGGAAAAGTTGAAGGAGTTCATCATCACCAAGCCATTATTACATGAAATGTTAAAGGGACTTCTCTAAGAAAAAGATGAAGATCAGAAACTATGAACAGTAAAATGATAACAAACAACTATCAACAACTGAACCTAAAAAATAAAAACAAATTAAGCAAACAACTGGAACAGGAAAAGAATCACAGAAATGGAGATCAGAGAGGAAGTGGAGGAAGGAGAACGGGGGAAAAGGAACAGGGAATGAGAAGCATAAGTAGTAGGTATAAAATAGAGAGGGGGAGGTTAAGAATAATATAGCAAATGGAGAACCGAAAGAATTTATATGTACGACCCATGGACATGAACTAAGGTGGGGGGAGAGGAATGCTGGTAGGAGTTGGGTGCAAGGTGGAGGGGAATAAAAGGGAGGGAAAAAAAGGGACAACTGTAATAGCATAACAAATAAAGTATATGTTAAAAAAGTATTTTATAATATGTAATTTTAATATATGTTACAGAAAAAATTTACCTCAATATATAAATTAGACCTATGGTATCAAGAAATAATTTCAAATTATTTCACAAGATATGTTTGAGGATGTCTGAGGGTGTCTTAAAAATAGGCCTGGTCTTAAGTCAATTATTCAGTTTCTATCTGGTCTTTATCATGTCTTAAAAAATTGAGCTTAAATTTAAGGACATGAAACCAATACAGACAGACTCTGCAATACTGAACTTAAAGCTTTAAGTATCAAAACAGTTTAATAACATTTAAACCATTTAAGTTGACATAACAGAACAAAGTATTAGATTTTAAAAACTAACTCTCTACACTTTTGGCTTTCCTGTTTTCCTACAAAACTGTTCTTTTTTCTGTTTAAAATATTGTACTTTACACTCTCATCCCTCCCAATTCCTCACTATATTTTAGCTCAGGTAGAGAGATTTAGAAGGGTAAAGGCATTTGTAATATGGAATATTTTATAAAAATGAATTGTAAAAGCATATTTAGATTAAGAATCTAATTAATAGATTACTGTTAATGTGCACACAAAAGTACATAATAAATTTTTTAGATCTAGCCACTATAATTGTATTTGTTAAATAACAATCAGTTTTAAACATTTTTCATATGCATTTTTACCTGAGGTTATCATATGGGACCTTCCGAATTAACTGCTTTTACTAAATAAAATAAATTCCTTTTCCCTGACCTAGCTGAAATAACAGACTGAATTTCTCCCCGCACCTCTCACTCACTCACACACACACATACACCCCCTTCAAAAGGAGTAACATTTTACAGGCTTTGTGCTGTGGCATTATCTCTTTATAATGTAACTTTGAAAATTATGATAGAATAATGGCACAGTGGTCAAAATTTTCCATGTGTCAGAACTGGTGGCCCTGGCTGGCGTGGCTCAGTGAATTGAGTGCCAGGTTCCCAGTGGGGAATAGGGGTGTGAGAGGCAACCCCACATTGATGTTTCTTCTCCCTCTCTTTCTCTCCCTCTTTCCCTAATAATTAATAAAAAATATATATTAAAAAAAAAGAAGAACTAGCAACATAAGAATGACAATGGTGTAAGGACAACCATAGCTCAGCGGAAAGAGGCAAAGACTGAAGAGGAGACAAGAAACAAGGAAGTCTCAGAGCTGGTGTATTAGGATGATCTAACTCCCACAAAGCTTATTTGGACTCCCTGTTCTTGTGTGCTTGTAATAAACTACTACTTAACAAATTAACCTACTTGAAAAAATTTCTTCTTTTTATAACTGAATGACACATCTTCCTTGCTGCCACCTGTGTTTACTATACAAAGCCACGATATTATCGTTGCTATAGTTATTCATTTGAACGGTCTCCAAAGCAAAGAGGAACCTAAAAATCTCCTTTTACAGCCTATTATTTTTACAAAATTACAAAACACTCAGAGAATTGGTGTTACCTTGCTTCTTTTCCATGATCACCTATAACTCTGTCATCACGACCCAGATTTCTAGAAGAAATTCGACCCAGTTCCATCTTGATTTCCTTATTCAAGCCTTCCAGCCCATGCGTCTGAAAGCAGACACGGTGACGAGAATAACCTGCAAGTTGCTCATCTGCACCAATTCCAGTAAGAACTACCTATAGAGGTTTAAAGAAATCCATATAAAAATGGTATCTACCATACAGTAAGGAAAATAAAAGTAAAGCTTAAAAAAATTATAATCTCAAAGATAACATTTTCAGAGAAAATCCACAAGACAAAGTCAGAAAATAGTAAAATATGCCCAATTTTTAAGGTCACATACCTTGTATTGCAGTTTAAATGCAATTAAAATATGCTATATTTTCATAACCTAAATGTCAAAAGCTTTAAGGGCCACGATTAGGTCTCAGTAATTCTTCCAAGCAGATATTTCGTCATACCTTTGCACTGCTCTGATATGATTTCACTTCATCCTGGGTCACTAACCAACCAATTCCTCTAGAAGCAAACCAAACTGCACAGCCGATGCTATCATCCAACACTGTATCCAAGGGCTGAATTAAGTGGCATATTCGAGTTCTCCTTAACTTTTGCAATTCTTCCAGAGAAACATTAATTTCAACAAAATTCCAAATCCGGGAAGGGTTAGCAGTTTGCAGTTCCTTTAGTCCTGCTCTTCCTGTGATTCGATCTGGTACCATGAATTGTTTGTCAGAACTAGCAGCAGCAGCAGCATTTTTAGAAGATTCTTCAAAAGGTATTTCAAAATTTTTCTGTTGTTTCTTTTCATTGTTAAAACTAGTTGGTACAGTCTTTTCTTTAGTCATGAAAGCCACATTAAGAAGATCAATTGGTTCATCTAAAGGAATGTGACGGTCAGCAAGGGTTGCAATAATCATGGAATCAATACCCCCAGAAAACAGGATTCCAACATTTGCTTTCCTATCACAAGTTTTCAAAACTTCACTTGGTGTCAGGTGGTCATCCCTGCATAAACATAAGACTCGTCTCTTGACTGCAATACTCAGGACGTCAATGAATTGCTGGACTATTTCCTTCATGTGTCCATCAGTAAGAAAGACCTTAAGTGTCTCTCTTGTAGGTGAGATGTTGGAAATATTACTGCAATGACTATCAAATGAAGCTTGTGGTAACATCATATTTAAAGGAACAACAGGTTCTTTTAGGAAAAGTTTGGCTTCATTTGCTACCACTGATACAAATGTTGGCAAGTTTGCTGAAATTTGAGTCAGGCTATCAACACATTCTTTGATGACATTCTCCTTAGAAATATACTTCCAAGGATACAATTTTAAAACCACAGATTTGGAAATGGAAGTAGATTTGAGATCGATTCTGAAAATTCCAGATGCTGGAACTTCTTGCCATTGATTGGCAACTTCAGATGTTTGGGGGCCAACTGAAGAGAGGCAGAAACTCTTGCCCAAATTACTAAAATGCCAAAGCAAGCTACGGCGACCAAAAAAATCCCTACCAAACCATAAATGATGACTAGATGCTTGATAATATATAAAAGACCAAGGACCCTGAACTTCTGAGAAGAGTGACAAAATATCAGATTCATTCTTACAAGAGGAAAGATAATTAAACATTACTTGAGTATCATTCTCTTCAGCTTCAACCTTTATTCCACTAAAGACTTCCCCATTCCACAGGAACACATTGCCTCTTTCATCTTCCACAGGCTGGGCAGTCAAAACACCCCTTAAGTGAAGGACATGACCAGAAAATAAACACTGGTAGTTAACATCAGACTTTAACAATTGTTTACTACTATTGGGTCCCCGTCGTTTAAGATTACACAATAAATCCTCCTTCGAATCTTTGCAGAAATGTTCAACAGAAAAGCTTACAGAACAACAAATGCCGCACATTGTTCTGTGAAATCAAGTTGACTATTTCTTGACTTTGGTCTTCTCTGAGTTTTCTATTTCTTGGTATTCTTTTTTTAGCTCATCCAATATATCTGTGCAGAGAGGGGAATAGAATATTAAGTAAAATAAAAATTATTGCACCTTTACCTAGTAATTCACAGGACAACATATTTACCAAGATCAAACCATTTGAGTATAATGCAGTGTATTAATGCAAATAATAATTTATAATAGGCTTCTCATGATGAATATTTATCTTTTAGGAACACAGTTTCTGTATATTAGATGGTTATTTTGGCCCAGGCACAGGGCTGTGCACTCTTATATATACCATCTTAATTAAATCCCACAGACTTTGGAGGCTCAAAGTAACTCATGCAAAGTCACAAGGGTTTCAGAAAGTGATAGAATAGTTTTTCATACTAGACCTGTCTCAAACTCTAAAGCACACATTAGTAATTAGTGCTTTCTAACACATCTTATGTATTTTTATTCGATTTTTATCTTTACCATAAACTCACCTTTGGAAGGCTAACTTGAAGAAAACAAAACTATTGCATTAAATTTATTAACAGGCATACCGATACCCAATCTTTGGATATATATTTAAACATTCTGATATACAGAATATAATTTAGTAACTAACATGAATTTCTACAGAAAGACTACAAAAGACTTTCTGTACATTTCTACATAATATACCAAAAAAACTTACTTTTGCTTTCAGAAAGCATTTCTGTTCGGTCAGCAAGAAAGAATATGTTGCTGTTCTGTTGCTGTTTATAAACTTTCTGCAAAACATAATTTAGGCTAATATTACGATTTGATCTAAAAAGCAGCAGATGTCAAAACTCTGAACCTTATTATTACTTATTCTTGAACTTCAGTAACATGTTCAGAACAGTACCTTAGCATAAACAAAAGTTACCCATTACCCTGCCACTGCTACCATTAAGATTGAGATGGAAATTTTTTCTTTTCTCTGCAATACCATGATACTACTTTTCTTTAACAACAAAAAACGGTCTCCTATAAGTATAGACTTCTAACTTGCTTTTATCAGTCAAAAATATATTGAGAACTTTTTTCTTATTAATGTGTTCTTTTACAACATTTCTGTATGGGCGTAACATATTACAGTTTATTTGGTCTGTCCTCAAGTTTTAGATATTTAAGGTGTTACCAACTTTTAACTACTACAAATGTATGTTGTGATAAACGTATTTGTTAACTAAATCTCTGCACTCCCATGACTTTTTTTCCTAAGTATCAATTCCTATAAATGGAACTCCTGGGTCAAAGTGTTACATACCTTTAAGATTTTCATACATTCTGCCAATTTGCCCTTTAGAAAATCTGTATCAATTGCACTTTAACCTCTAATATTCCACAAGTGACAATATCAGAAATGTCTAACCGTCAGTTATCAAATAATCTGTAAAATGCTTTAAAAGGTTCAAAATTATTTCTTCCTGAACTTTAAAATGTAATTTTTTGACAGTATAACTACACAGGAAGCAGTAGCTTGCTTGTTTATGAATATATTAATGGAAATGGCATTAAATAACCATGTTAAATATTTGGAATATTTATGGAAGAAAATGCAGGAGTGGGAGGGGAAGCAATTCTACCCTTTTTAAAATTATTTTTAACAATTATCCACTTTCACTTAAAGGAACAGTTTCCTCTCTTCTCAATATATTTAAAGTTCATTTATTTTTAAAGAAAATACCAAATTTTAGGTACAAAATAAATACCATTAGTTTCTACAGCTCCAAGATATCATAGCATAATTAGTATCATTTGGTTCAAAGGTAATGTAAATTTCATATGATAGGGAAAAGATATTATCAACTATGATTAATACATAGATATTTATATGTATATTATCTCTTGAACTGCAAAAATTAAGATAAATATAGATATCTATATATTATCTACATATATATACATGTATAACCTTGGACACTTCACTCTTGCCATTTAAAAAGATGCTGAAATATATAGCTTAAAATTCTTACAACTTTAGCATATAGTTAATAAGATATAATCAAATCCTCCCACATTTGATTCATAATTACTCTGATAACTCACCCTGTTTTTCTTCAGGTTAGAAAGTTCATCCACAACAATTTTTTGTTCTTTAATCTATTGAAATAACGAAAAACTTGTTAAATCGGAAGTTCTCAAAGTATGCTCAATGGGTGCCCATTAAAAGTAGAAATGGGATAACAGGCTATAGTGTACTCATTGTCCAAATGAGCCTGTGAACACAGATTCTTTTCAGCAGTAGTCGGTGTGAGAGTGCAGGTGTGGGAAAGCGGGAGGAGGAAACAGTGATTAGGCTGGCTAAGTATCAGACAGCCCGCTGAGTCCAGACGGGCGTTTGGTGTTGGTAATCAGCATTAACGTAAGAGTCGGAGTCACTGAACTAGGTTTATACCCTTTACTTAAAATAGACAACATGCACCAGTTTTCCAATGATTTTATTTTGTTTCAGTGTTTTTAAAACAAAGAACAGCAAACAGAAAGAGGGGTGCGCTACTTCTCCCTGCCCCAAATACCAATGCTTTTCCTGATTTATGTACAAAATGGTGCAGCCAGGCATTCAGAACATGCAGGTGATACTAAATGCCCCACCTGGGGGAGTAAGACCTATAACCTTCCATTTTTGCTCTTTCTTTCTTTTTGCATGTCAAAGACTAGCACTGTGCAGGCACAGCTGAAGGAGACCTCACTTTTATTAGTAGGAGAGGGCTCAACTAAGTGGAAACTAAGTTTCTTTCTCTTTTCAGTAATGTTAGTTATTTTGTGAACATAACTAATTACATAGTATTACTAGTGCCTCTAAAACCAGGTTTATAATCTTTGACCTACCTCACATACCTCAGAGATCTGTCATACATCAGAATAAGTAGCTGGCTATGGTACAACAATAATCAGGGTGGGCTGGGTGTGGTTTGAAAATTCAACACACCGACGAGTGTGTACCCTTTTGTCTTTCCAGTTAACAGTCAGTATGGTAGCCGAATATACTGAGTTGAATTCCAAAACCGAATTTTTACATCCTTGAAACTTGTGTTTGGACAATAGCTTCCCATTCATTTTAGGAATGGTAGGTATACATATATTTCATTTTAATTCTAACAAGTAAACTGATATAGAGGGATTAGAGATTTGCCTATTAGAGATTAAGTCATAACTATTAGTTTCGGACACAACCAAAGAATCTAGGACATTAATTCCTGAAAGGCATTAATATAATGATGGGGATAACCATCCCCAACATCAATATATTTTTAAAGGTTTTATCTATCAATGGCAGGTAAGATTTATATTATATTGGCTCCCCTCTCCCTTTTTTTGGGCGGAAGAACGACAATCAGATGTTTTAGGATCAGTGCTCTGGCTAAAGTGGAGAACAGATTGGAGGACGGTGACGATGAATGACAGGTCAGTTAGAAGCCTTTGCGGGGTCCCGTATAGCAGGTAGATGACGGTGGCTGGTTTGGGATGGTAAGAGTGTACACGGTGATAAAGGCATATATATGAAACGAGCTTCAGAGGTAGAATGGATAGGACTTCATGGTGGATGTCAGAGACGGCTCCCAAATTACGGGCAAGGACAAGTGGATGGAAGCATTTTCGGAGCCACGGGAGCGGATCTGAGATGGGCGGAACTTACAAAACTTTAAGACCAACCAAGTCTCCGCCCACTGCCGGTCGGGTCTAATTTCCGGGCACGTTTCAGGGTCTCCCTTAACTGCACCTGTCCATAGCAAGGAATAAAAGGAGCACGGCAGTTGGGCCAAGCCGAGAGCAGGCCTTGCTGCTGCGGTGGACCTTCTCAGGGGCCCGGAGGCGCCCCGTTCGTGTCTGCGGGCCTTCTCGCTTCCTTCCACACTCACCTTGCTGCTCAGGTCCTCTTTGTGAGGGGCCGAACTGTCGGTATTGCCCAGGCGGGCGCTGTCTTCTGGGCGTGCCTCCTGGAAGGGCATGTCCATCGAGCACAAAATACGTAGTACGCGCAGCGGGGCTAGCGCACCAGCAGCCTCCGGCTGGCAGGCTCAGCTCGGAGGGCTCTCCAGGACTCCACCGACCTACGGCCCCCCTTCCGAGAGCCCTACCCGTGCCGTTTGCGCGCTCCCGGGAACGCCTACGCAATTTCCGACTGGCGAGGAAGCCGTTCTGCGCCTGCGCACCGATGTTTCAGGAGCAGGAGAGCAGAGCTGGGTCGTGAACTCTGATAGGTCCCCTGAAAAGTCAGCTCACAGAGGAAATAGAAACACTTTGGTGACCTCTTCGCTTCCTGGGGACCAGTGGACTGTGAGTTGTGTGCGCCTCCCAGTGGTGTATGTGAAGAATAGGAGCGCAGTAGAAATAGGACTTAATATTGGGTTGGCCAAAAAGTCTGTTTAGTTTTTTTAAATAAAATAAAAGACACATTTTTCACTTTCACCAATAACTTTATTGACTTAGATATTTTGAGCACGTCGGCTGTCTCTCGTGTGGTATAACATTGATTGTCCTCAACGTCTCGGTTTGAGAGCTGTCAACTTAACTGGCCTACCTGACTGCACAGTATCCTACAAGGAGCAATATCCAGCATGAAACTTCGCAGGCAAGTTCGATCATCACAGCATCCTTCCCATACACTGCACAAATTATTATTATTATTATTATTATTATTATTATTATTTTGCATTTCACTCACATTTTTACCTTTCTTGAAATAATAAAGCATACTATGCTGAAAATGTTGCATATTTTCTTCCATCTTCATTATTAAAATGGCTACACCAAAATTCACCAGTTTTGATGTTTTCTTAATGCACGTTGATGTGACAACTGTTACACTATAATCTAACAAAATTGTTTCAAATAAAGTAAAAGACAACTAAGTGCTACTAGAACCATCTTACGGAAAAATAAACTTTTTGGCCAATGCTTATTATCTAATATGAAGCTAGTCCAGATTTAAGAGATGTATTGTTGGAAATGGAACTGTACAGACTTGGTAATTTGTTAACTTGCTATTAGGATTAAAAGATAAATACAGGATGCCCAGTTAAATATGAATTTCAGCTAAATGAACAACTTTTTAGTATATGTACACCCTACACAATATTTACACTACCTCACTCCTGTGGGAAAAATTAGCCAAAACTTGGAAAGAATCAAGAGATTACTGGCTGTTTTTCAGTGCTTTTCTGGGCTTGACTTTGTATTGATGGGACTCTTTTATGATTTTGTAGGGACAGAAGTTAACCTGTAGATTTTTGTGTGGCAGAAATGAAAATAAGTTCTATCTGGGGGACCCATAACCCCACAGGTTATAATTTATTGTGCTGTAAAACATTAATCAGTTTTGTATCAAATCCTGCAATCCCAGGCTAACATTTCTTTACTAATATAGCCCTAGCTTTTCATAGACTCTTTCAATTGGTCTTAACATCTTACCTGTTCCCTCATTAATTAATTAGTTGAATAAAATTTTGGCATATGTTCATTACATATTTTCATGAGAGACATGATTTTATATTTTTTAAATTATACTTTGTCATTGGAAATCTCAACCTTCCAGGGAGACATCCAAATGGACTCACATGAAGGAGACAAACTATGGGTAAGGAACAACCTCATCGGTCATTTAAGACCAGGCTTATCTTTTATTGGCTCTTTGAGTAAATCCAAAGTGGTTATAGGACCAAGTTTACTGTTTATTTTTCCTTTTTAATGACTAAAAAAATTTTTTTTATTTTGATTTGTGCATGGCTAAGTTATTCCACACTGGTAGCTGCAGTGATTGGGAATTTGGTTTTATGGTCTGATCATTTGTTGATACCTGTTGGGTGATGGAGAGCTGGCCTCTATTAGAAGAGCAATGACAGAGAATCCAGTCTTTTAGTCTCTTTGTTTGTCCTTTGCAAGCTCAAAATAATTAAGAATTTTGTGCCCACCAGAAAAGGGAACAGCTTTTTGAGATCTGGGCTGGTGAATTTTTTTGTACTTTTGTGTTGACTCTCAGCATAGGATTGAAGTTGTAAAACTGAAGCTATAACCTCTCTGTGTGTCTGTGTATCTAATTTAGGGCAGCTTTTATATCTTGTGCTAATGTAAAATGTTTTCATACTTCTGGAAGGTATTAATAAATTCCATTGTAATTTCTCTTAAAAGATGGTCTATAGGTATAAATATGCATGTGTATAAATCCCCAATTTTTAAAAAAACTTTAAAAAATATTTTATTTATTTATTTTTAGAGACGGGAATGGAGGAAGAAAGAGAAGGAGAGAAACATCGATGTGTGGTTGCATCTCATGCGGCCCCTACTGGGAATAGGACCAGCAATCCTTTGGCTCGCAGGCTGGTACTGAGTCCACTGAGCCACACCAGCTAGGGCTAAATCTCAAAAATTTTTAAATGAGAATGTTTTCACAATTATTGAATAGAACCATCATGTGATCGATTAGGTTAATCCCTATTTGGTTTCTTAGCCAAATTAGACACTTGGACTATCTGTATCCAATCTCTAAATGTTAGAATTAATCAGGCCTTTTTTTCCTCAATCTACAACCTGGTCTTGGGCAACCTTATTTTCTCCTATGACTTTTAATCTATCTAAAGGCTAACAGTTTAACTGGATCCTCACCTCACCTCTCCTCTGAGATTTAGATATATGTAGCTAAATGCTCATTTTATATCTTGACATAAATGTCTTACAGGCATCTCATAGTTAATATATTCCATGTTTATATATTATATATAAATTTATTATCAATAAACTATTAATTAATATATATGGAAATCTGATCATGGGAAACAATATGCCAAAGTGATTGAGAACATGGGCTCTGGAGTTATAACCTGTACTACTTACCAGCTGAGCGAGTTAGGGCAAGTCACCAAACCATTTGAAACTTCAGTTTTCTCAACTGTAAAATGAAGGTTAAAGTAAAGACTGAAGGAGATAATTCATTTAAAGTATTTAATATGATAACTGAAAAATGGTTGCCATCACTAACATTATTATTGTTGTTGTTCTTTGCTCAAAATAAATCCTGTAAATAACCTACAAAGTCTCACCGATGGCTGTAGACTCATTTTCACCATTCATATACTTTTTCATATTCTTGCTTAGCTGGTCTATTTCCTACAACAAACAAAGCTGCATCTTACCTCAAGGCCATCACACATTCTATCCCAGGATACTTTCATTCTTTTCAGGGTTAACTCCCGTTCTTTCTTTAGTTTTTGGTTTAAATGTTAGATTCAGAGATTTAAATCTTCTGATTGAAATTAGCCCCCCTCCCTTTTCTGTCTCTTTGAGAGCAGCCGGTAACTGTGCACATTTATTTGTGTGATCACTTGTTTAGCTCACCTCCACGAGGTCAGAGACTGTGGCTGTTTTGTCATGCACACCAGGTCACTATTAAATATTTGCCAAATGTGTGGGTGAATAGTTTTATTTTTTAATCAACCAGAATGTTATACTCTTATCTCTGGGAATTTGGAAAAAAACAGGCACGTAGCAAGAAAAAATTTCCAGTGAGAATCTGGAACCTCTAAAACACATTATAAGGACGTGTTTTTAGATAATCAACCAAAATGTTTTCAGGCACAGTTGAATAGATTTGAATAGGTGGGGGTAGGAAAATATAACCTAGATTTTGAAAGCCATGCACCACTTTCTTTAAAAAAATTCTGTTGCTATAGTTAATGGATTTGAACAAAACAATAAGTACAAGGGATGAAAAAAGACAGATGGAATAGAATACTCCACATGGTGCAAATGTAGTTGTCATTTTTATTATGTTACTGGGAAACAGTTGAATTCAGATATTTCTGTACTTAATAGGAAAGGATCATGTATATGTATTAAGATTTCAGAGTCTTAGTGCAGAGAGAAAGATAACTTTGCCAGATATTTCTATTATTCTTTGTATTTCTAATGAGAGTAAGATGCATTACAAGTTGAAAGTTAATAGGGATGATGTTGGGAAAGAAAAAGTTTTATTTATTATTTTTATTTTAAAGATAAGTTGTTGTAATCTGTTCTTATTATCAAATGAAATAATTGGAAATGTAATGTGTATTGTTAATTTTTCTGCTTGGTAATGAAAATATGATGAAATACTGAAGCAACTATTATAATGAACTCTCACTTATTTACTCCACTGAAAACACTCAAAAGCAATCAGGGATGATTAATCCAACAACACCATTAAAGTTATATGCTTTTATACTCATGTATATGAATGCCAAGTTTAACAACAGCTAAATTTATTGGAGAATTATCACTATGGAGCAGGCACTGATTTAAAAACTTTACATGTTTGAACTCAATTCTTTTTTAAATTTTATTTTAAATTTTAAGTTGGCACTTAATACTATTTTATATTAGTTTCAGGCATACAGCACAGTGGTTAGATGATCATGTAATTTGCAAAGTAACTCAAGTCCTCACCTGTCACCATGCATAGTTATTGAAACATTATTGACTGTATTCCCTGTGCTGTACTTTACATCCCCATCACTATTTTTTAACTACCAACTTCTTAATTCCTTCACGTTTTTCACTCAGCTTTCCAATCCCTCTCCCATTTGGCAACTCACAGTTTGTTCTCTGTATCTATGCATCTGTTTCTGTTTTGTTCGTTCATTTGTTTTTTTACTTAGATCCCACACGTAAGTGAAATCATATGGTATTTCTATTTCTCTCAGTTATTTCACATAGCCTAATACCTTCTAAGTCCACCCATGTTGTTGGAAAGGGTAAGATTTCCTTCTTTTTTATGGCCCAGTAATATTCCATTGTATATATGTACCACATCTTCTTTATGTACTAGTCTATTGATGGGCACTTAGGTGGCTTCATATCTTGGCATTATTATATTGTAAATAATGCTGCAGTGAATGTAAGGGTGCACATGTGTTTTCAAATCAGTGTTTTGGATTTCTTTGGATATATATCCAGAGTGTAATTGCTGGGTCATAAGGTAGTTCATTTTAAATTTTTTGAGGAAACTCCATACTGTTTTCCACAGTGGCTGCACCATTTTGCAATCCCACCAACAGTGCACAAGAGCTCTCCTTTTTTCACATCCTTACCAGCACTTGTTGTTTGTTGATTTATTGATGATAGCCATTCTCACAGATACGTA